CTAAATCTGGGTCATGCGCGGGCAATCCGCGATCGCTTTGCATTGGTTTTGGAAAGGAACGGCGGGGGTGTCGGCGTATTGCCTGCTGTGCGCAGGCCCACCAGACATCATGATGGCCACTCCGCCACGATTGCGCACCAGTTTTCGACAAGGATGTGAGCGGGCGCACCTGACGCTTGGCGCACATGGAGCACGTGGCGCATCTGGCACACCAGGCGGGACTAACACGCTTGGGCCCCTGGGCGCCTGGCGCGCCTGGTGCGCGCGGCGCGCCTGGCACGCGTGGCGCACCTCGCCCCAGAGTCGCGAACTTGGGGCCTGCATTGGTTCCCAGTAGCTGCCCATCCAGAGACGACCGCTGAATATGCTGAGACTCGGGTACTACTTATGTGCTGGGAGGGCAAGTGGGAGTGAGCCAAACAGGATATGTCTGGGAGAGGCCTGGCAGCCCACCTGGCCCTATGACAAATCCGGAGCATGCGCGGGCGCCGCGCTACCTTTTTGCATTGGTTTTTGACAGGGACGGCGGGGGGGGCTGAATATTGCTTGCAAGCCAACCACCCCTGACAAAAAACCGTACACTATACTTTTTAGTCAGCGGCCGCAGGCGAGCGCGCCAGCGGCGAGTCCAGTCAAAGCGGGGCACGCAACGACGAATTGACTTAAAGCGGCGGGGCGGAGCCTCACGCAGCACCTCACCGGCGGGCCGGCGAATGGAAGAGGCTGGCTGTAGCTGAATACCAGTACTGCCAGGGTGCACGTATGCAACGCGTCGGAAGCTGCAGGTAGTCGGGAAGACCGGCGACCAGGGACAGTAGCAGACGTGTAATTAGATGGGCGCAAGCCCCCAAACTACTGTGAAGGTACCAGGGTGGCCGCAGCCAAGTGAGCCGACTGACGGAGGTCGAATTGGTGTCCAGTGTGGGCGTGAGCGTTGGCAGGCTGCGAAGTACCAGGGTGGCCGGGCCGTCAAGTCCAACAGCAGCAGAACACACAAGTGCGAGAAGCAGCCAAGCTGCAGCGCGGCCAAAATGGCGCGGGGCACCACGAAAGAAACCGTGGAGATCACGGAAACCCAAGCAGCGGTCCGAGTCCAGACGGGTGCAAAAGGTGGCGCCAGCGAAGTCGCGCACCGGAAGCCCTGAGTAGGGAACGCGTGCCCGTAGCAACCGTACACAATACACGCTGCCTCCGAATCTGGAGCATGCACGGCCTGTTGCTTGCTGCGCGCGAGCCAACCATCCCGGTCAAAGCAAAACGATACAAAATACGAAGTGCCTCCAATGCTGGAGCTTGCGCGAACGCCCCGCTACCACTTTGCACTAGTGTTTGCTAAGGACGGTGGGGGTCCTGACATTGCTTGCTGCGCGCAGGCCAACATTCCCGGTCAACTGGAAAAAAAGCAATGTGTTTACAAATATGAAGCATGCGCAGGCGCCCAAAGACCACTTTGAGTTGGTTTTTGACGGGGAGACTCGGGTGCTACTTACACGTTGGAAGGGCTGATGGGAGTGAGCGAGACGGCTTGCGCCCTGTGAGCAGGAGGTGTCGTGACACCTCCTCCTACCCACTCCCCCGGGTCTGGACGGGGGTTGGTGGTCGCAGGGGCGTTTCTCGAAATTGTGCGCTTGTAACCTATTTTGAAAAAGATCCTCTGCGGCCGAGCAGGCTGGCCGCTAGGGAGTTTCTCGAAATTCGCTTTGGCGCCGAGGCTGAATTTCGAGGTACTCCCTCGCAGCCACCCTGCTAAGCCGCAGAGGAGTTCTCAAAATAGGTCACCAGCAAGAAGACATCCAAGAAACTCCCAGGTTTTCAGGAGAGGCGGGCCTCCCCCGCGGCGAGCTTCGAGGAACTCCATCGCAGCCTACAGGCTGGCGCCGAGGGAGTTTCTCGAAGTGGCCTCCCCCCGCAGGGCGACCACTTCCCCACAGCCGCGCGCCTCCGACTCCTCCGCGGCGAACATCGAGAACTCCATCGCATTCGAAAATTCCCTCGAAGCCTACTGGCTGGCGCAGAGGGAGTTTCTCGAAATGGCCCAGGTCCCCCCCAGCCCCAGCCGCGGTGAATTTCGAGAAACTCCCTCCCAGCCTACAGGCTGGCGCTCGAGGGAGTTTCTCGAAATGGCCCCAGCCCCGGCCCCGGCCCCGGCCCCAGCCTCGGCCCTGGCCCTAGCCGCGGCGAAATTTGGAAAACTCCCTCGCAGCCAAAAGGCTGGCGCTGACCAGCCCCGCTGGCCCTGGCCCCAGCGCATTTCAAGAATTTTCCTCGCAGCCTACAGGCTGGCGCTAAGGAAAGTTCTCGAAATTGCCCCGGCCCCAGCCCCGGTTCCGGCCCCGGCTGCGGCGAATTTCAAGAAACTCCCTCGCAACCTACAGGCTGGCGCTGAGGGAATTTCTCGACATGGCCCTGGCACCAGCGCCGGCCCTGGCCCCGGCCCTGGCCATGGCTGCGGCGAGTTTCTGGAGACTCCCTCGCAGCCGACAGGCTGGCGCTGAAGGAGCTTTCGAAATCGCCTGGGCCCCAGCCCCGGCTCCGGCCCCGGCTGCGACGAATTTCAAGAAACTCCCTCCCAGCCTGCAGGCTGGCTACGAGGGAGTTTCTCGAAAGAAATTTGACGGCAGGTGGTCGCGAGGGCGTCTCCTCGAAATGCCCTCAATGGCACACCAGGCATTTCGAGAAACTCCAAGCTTGTGCCGAGGAGGGCAGCGAGGGCGAGTGACATTTCGAGGAATCGCCCTCGCGACCACCTGCCCTGGACGGGGACGGGGTCCCAAGGGGTTAGGGCGTCCAAAATTGCCCTAGAGAGAACACACAAACAAAACCGAATGCTCTTCATGCTTCTGAAACGGCCCCCAGATCTCTCTGAAGAGCCCCAAGAAGACCCCCAGACCCCCAAAAGAGCCTCAAGAGGGCCCCAAGAGTGCCCCAAGAGGACCCACGGTCCCAAGAGGGCCCCGAGATGTCTCCGAGAGTCCGCAGAGAACCTCTCACAACAACATGTCCGCAAAGGCCGCCTCCTCATCATCCTCAATTTTCTGCGTTCCCGACACACTTCCACCGCGGCTGTTCCACAGCGTGCTTCTACACTTCCTTCATTAGGGCAACTGCCCTGGCAATCGTTTGTGGATGGACTGCTGGGGATACGCGAGAATTCAACAGCAGACGCAGGTCGTGCAAAACGGTGAAAACTGTGAACCAGGCAGAACACACACACACACACACCACACCACACACCCACCAAACACACACACACACACACACACACATGGACACGCCTGCCGACGACGACGACGACGACGACGACGACGACGACGACGACGACGACGACGACGACGACGATGATGATGATGATGATGATGATGATGATGATGATGATGGTGGTGGTGGTGGTGGTGAGTGGTGGTGGTGATGCTGGTTGATGATGATGATAAGGAGTATGATGATGATGCTGATGATGATGACGGTGATGGTGATGATGGTGATGATGATGGTGGTGATGGTGATGGTGATGATGACGATGGTGATGGTGATGGTGAAGGTAATGGTGAGGTGATGGTGATGATGATTATGATGATGATATTGCTGATGATGCTGTTGTTGATGCTGCTGATGATGATGGTGATAGTGATGATGATGCTGATCATGATGACTGTGGTGATGAGTATGATGGTAATGATGATGATGGTGGTGACGATGTGATGATGATGGTGATGGTGTGAATCGTGATGATGACAATGATGATGACGATGATGATGGTGATGATGGTGATGATGATGATAATGAGCACGATGATGGTGGTGATGATGGTGATGATGGTGATGATGATGATAACGAGGATGGCGATAATGATGACGATGATCCTTTTCAACAGATACCCCCCCTCCCTCCAACAAAAGAAGATCCTCCCTCGGTTTGGCAGTCTGGGCCGTTTTTCGAACACGATTGTGAAAATTAAATATCAACATGAGCTCCACAGACAACTCAAACAAAATCGCGAAGACACTCTGGGGGGAAAACGCCGAAGACCTCCGCGGCCATCGACGGACTAATTGAAAGCACCCTGGGGACTGAAAACATGTTGCATTCGACACAGCTTTGAAGCGGATAGACAATGCACAAGACGTGTTAATGCCAACGTGTGCTTGTCAAGAGATGTCCTTCGGCATGGTAGCTTGGTGCAAAGGGGGCCACCAAGAATTCACAACACTAAAGGTGGATGTTAACGAGGTACCCTCTCTTCCAACGACTCCGACGTCGCAATTTGTTTGCGACGTGGGCCCTAGGGATCTCGACCCCTTCGCCGAGGCCCCCGAGGCCAAACGTTCGTCCCGAGTCGTTTTTTGAAAGCCCCAGCCAGGAAACAGCGCCCGAAAAACAAGCTGTCGCATGTTTTAGCGACGTCCAGATCTGAGGGAGGACTCCTCTCGGTGGAGACTAGCGAAGTAAACCGACTCTGGGTCATCCAACGTTCCACTGGGTCTTTCTCAAGACTCGACCACTGGACCTCTCCTGGGGTGCTGTCCAGCCAAAATTTCGAAGCGGATCCAGCCGTGGCGACAAGAGGCCTTCCAGAAGACCAGAAAAGCGAGCAACCGCCCGGCCGATGTACAGAACGTAGACGACATGGGCCAAGCCGAAGGGCTGGAATCCGATTCCGAAGAGCCGCCAACGGTTGCCGCGGCAACCTGGGCGGCCCCCGGCCTGGCCCCGGCCTCCCCCCTGGCGGCTGGCGCCTGGCCCCAACGACCCCGGCGGACGCCAAAGTCAACTGTGACCTAAGCCACGGTACAGCCAAGACGCTGAGATAAGGACCACTTCGGGCTCGGGGGCGGCTCTGGCTTCCGGGCCGCTCCTCTGATTCAGGACGCAGAGCCTACTCGTGCGCGACGCTCGCCATGGCTGGAAGAGCCCCTGCGTTCCCTATTCAGCGTTCCTGATGCTAACACGATGTTTGCAAGTCCTACCTCGATCTGCGATCCACAATCCGGTCCGAGCGGTTCCTGCACGGCCGCGCTCTCCTCCTGCCACCGGATGGGCGGCATGACCTTGCCGTTGGCTGGCCCTGGGCCCGCGACCAGCGGCGAAGCGTACAGGAATCGCACCTCGGCGGGGCGCCACGGCCGACGCTCGATGGATCCTGCAGACGCTGTCATCGACACCCTGCCCCTCCTCCTCCTCCTCATCCTCCTCCTTCTCCTGCTCCTCCTCCTCCTCCTCCTCCTCCTCTGCTCCTCCCTCCTCCTGCTCCTCCTCCTCCTCCTCATCATCATCCTCCTCCTCCTCCTCCTCCTCCTCCTTCTTCTCCTCCTCCTCCTCCTCCTCCTCCTCCTCCTCCTCCTCCTTCTCATCTTATTATTATTATCATTACCATTACTATTAGAAGAATTGTTATTATTAGTAGTATTAGTAGTATTAGTAGTATTACTAGTATTATTAGTAGTAGTAGTATTATTAGTAATAATACTATTATTATTATTAATACTATTATTATTATTAGTATTAGTATTATTAGTAATATTATTATTAGTATTATTATCATTATTTTTATTATTAGTATTCGCATTCGTATTCGTACTGGTGTTGTTATTATTAATCGTAGTATTACTATTACTAATATTAATATTAGTATTATTATTTTAAAAGATATTATTCTCATTATTGCTATTAGTAGTAGTAGTAGTAGTAGGAGTAGGAGTAGGAGTAGGAGTAGTAGTAGTAGTAGTAGTAGTAGTAACATCATCATCATTATTATTTTTCTGAGTATCCGTATTAGTATTATGTTTAGTGTTAGTGTTAGTATTATTAGTAGTAGTAGTAGCATGTGTAGTATTATTAGCGTTCTTAGTATTATTATGAGTGTTAGTATTGTTATTGTTGTTGCTATGGTTATTATCCTTATTATAAAAAATACCATTGTTATTAGTAGCATGAGTATTAATATTCGTATTATTACTAGTAATAATATCGATAAAAAATTATTAATATTATTAATAGTATTATTGTTGTTATTTGTATCATTCGTATTAGTATCAGCATTATCAATCATATGATTATGGTTATTACTATTAGTAGTACTACTATTACTATGATTAGTAGTAGTAGTAGTAGTAGTAGGATTTCTCTTGTGTGTTTCAATAGTGCTGTTCGAGTTAGTGCTAATGAGATTCGTACTTTGTTAGTATTAATGTGTTTCGCCTTATGTCTAGTATGCTTAACATTCGTAATTGGTCGTGCGGCTTCACTTTCTTTTCATGACTACTATTACTACAAATACAACTACTTCGATCAGTCATCTTGTTATACTTGTTGCAATTAGGATGTGTATCAATAATCTTACTAATGTAACCATGGTAGTGATAGTTTTAGTCATATGATTATTCGTGAGTCAAAGAAGAAGTATAGAGTTAGAATTATTATTAGTACAATTGTCGCTCACAGTACTATTCCCGTGTTGCTTAATAATATGACTATCAGTTGTCTTACTATTGTTGAAAATATTAGTCGTACGATTAGTCTTCCCATCCTGATCATTATTCCTCTTCGTGTTATTCGTGTTCGTCTTCTTCTGAGTAGTATTGGTATTCGTGATAGTTTTCGTTTTCTTCGCATTCGCATGGTTATTGTTAGTAACATTATGGTTGATATTCTTATTAGTGGGATCCGCATTATTAGCGGAATGATGTTCAAATATAGTATGCGTCGTTTCGGTGTGCGTCGTCGTCTTATTAATCGTCGCCGTTTGATTAGCCTTACTTAAGTATCCATATTATGATTCGTCTTCGTCTACGTTGTCTTATTACTAGAACTGATCATATTCTTCTTTCCTTACCAGTATTATGTATCACATTACTATTAGTATGCTTTTGCCTTCTCCTTGTCCTCCTTCTCCTCATCATCATCCTCATCATCATCCGCCTCCTCCTCCTTCTCCCCCTCCTCCTCCTCCTCCTCCTCCTCCTCATCCTTTTCCTCCTCCTCCTCCTTCTCCTCCTCTTCCTTCTCATCCTCATCCTCCTCCTCCTCGTCCTCCTCCTCCTTCTCCTCCACTTCTTCCCTCTCGTCCTCCTTCTTCTCCTCTTCCTCCTCCTCTTCCTCCTTCTCGTCGTCCTCCTCCTCCTCCTCTTCCCTCTCGTCCTCCTCCTGTTCCTCCTTCTCCTCCGCCTCCTCCTCTTTTCCTCCTCGTCCCCCTCCTCCTCCTCTTCCTCCTCCTCCTCATCCTCATCCTCCTCTTCTCTGTTACGAGTTCGATTAGTATTAGTATATGAAGTACTCTTACTATCAGTATGTTACGTTTCGTCGTAGCATTCCCCTTTTATTCGCAGTATTAATCGTTTATTTACTACTTCTACTAGTTCAAGTATTACAACTGTTAGCGTTAGTACGAATAATATTCCTATAATTCGTAAACTAATACGAATGTTAGCATTGACATTTTAAATACATATAGCATGATCCTTCTCATCAACATTAGTCTGAGCATTATGCTTCGTCTTCGTATCCTTCTTCTGAGACAGCATAATAATGTTTGGTTCGTCGCCTGCTCGGCAATGTTATGTGTATGCGTCGTATTCTGATTAGAATCAGCATTCGCATCTTTATGACTGATATCACTAGTATTATTAATATTACTCGTAGTACGATGGGTAGACGTATAAGTCTTATTAGTTGTACTAGTATTCTGGCGAATGTTCGTATTAGTATTGTATGCATTTGTCTGAATGTGATCAACAGTAGTACTCGTATTAGTGTTAGTATTCTTGTTCGGCTTGATAGTAATATGCTTAGGCATAGTATCCGTATTATTGTGCGTCTTAATAGTTGTATGATTATTATTCTGCTTCTTACTATCAATATAACTCCTCCTCCTCCTCCTCCTCCTCCTCCTCCTCCTCCTCCTCTTCCTCCTCTTCCTTTTCCTCCTCCTCCTCTTCCTCCTCCTCGTCCTCCTCCTCCTCCTGTTCCTCCTCCTCCTCCTCTTCCTCCTCCTCGCCCTCCTCCACACTAATTTGGCTGTCGCCTGTATGAGATCCTTCAGGGCTGCGCGTAGTTCAAGACCATACTCACTTGTCAGGCCGTGCGCTGCACCGAACCCGTCCCGCACAATCCGATCCCGCGGGCGGCGCAGGCGGCAGCAGCCCAGAATGGTTTCCAGGATGTCGCCCAGCCCCTCGGCGTCCCCGTGTGAGAACAGAGACGTACGCGGCCCCCGCTGAATCAGCAGGCTCATTCCCAGAAGGGTGCGGAGGCCCAGGTAGTGCAGCAGCAGAAGGCCAAAGACGGACTTGAGGTCGTCTGCGACCTGCCTCAGGCCCTGAAAGCCGGGCACCGCCCAGAAAGCTTCAAAATGGGCACTCGAAGAAGGGTCGTGGCGCCGCTGGCATAAGCAAATACCAGGGGACCAGGGTTGCGGAAGCGGTCCGATTGGTGCCGCTCGGAATGCACCAGTCTGCGATCTTCCAGGGCTCTAGCAGCCCAGCACACTCCATGCGGGCGGGAAACAAAGTATTGTCTACCTCCCCGCCCTGGCTAAGGCGGGAGCCCAGCCCGGCTGCTCGCAAGAGGGCCGCCATGGTGGCGTTGTAGACCAAGTTGGCCACGTCAAGGCACAGGAAGAGACTGAAGAGGAAGCCGTTCATGCTTCTTCCTTTCGTATCCTGCATGGCTGGGTGCAGGGGTTGGTCTCCTGCGCCGCGTTCGTGAGGGTGCAACCCAAGTACGTGTAGGAGTACTGGGGCCAGGGCGACACCGAGGAGGCCCCAGGCGGTTGACTGCAGGTCGTCCGCCACGCCCTGCCAGCTCAACTCCCTGGGGAGGCGGCCGACTGCGGACAAGCGAGCTCGTGCCACGGCAAAGCGCGCAGTGCGTGCCGAGGTCTTCCAGTGGCTAGGTGCAGAGAGAAAGGCCACGGCCTGCCTCTATAACACTAACTTCCGCGCCAAGCGCATCTTCGACGCTGCAATAATGGGCCTGCCTGTGACGAGGGCCCAGCAGGAGCGAAAAACAGCGGCTACCCCTGCAGGGTTCTCTGCCGGTCGGTGTGCTGCACATCTAAATAATGTAAGACCCCTTGCCGCAGCACCAAGCCAGAATCCGTTGGCCTCCCATGCAACAAACTGCGCGCACGTTCAGTCAGTGCCCCTCGCCGAAACTCGTCTTGCACGCCCAAAGACCCATCGGCCTGGTCTTCGACGCGGTTGCACTTTGTCAACACCGTCATTCCCTGAACCGCCCCTTTGCCTCTGGCGCACCCGAAAATGTGCTGCCAGTGGTCCTCCGTGGTCCCTGGCGCATACTTCCATTGAGGGGTGGAAAAACGCCCCTACCGTGGGTTACAAGTGCGTGGTCAGTAAACCTCCTGCGAGCTCCCAAAAGCCAGAGAGCCGCCAGCAAGCCGCGCGATACGCAGGGCTTACCATGTCAGCCCACAAGAAGTTCAGCGCACAGCGCCTCGTAAACCAGGGTAGGGGCGCTTTTTGAACCCTTGATTACATGTTCCAAATACGACGCGGGCAGCGAGTTGATTGCTGTTCCTGACGGCGGCTCCAGACGATAGAAGTCCCCGCAGAACAACGCGCTCACGCCCCCGAATGGTCTGGCCACGCCGCTCGCTCCGACCTTCGTCGCGCGGGAAATCCACCGATCCCCTTGGGAATCGTCAGCTTGTAAAACATGTTCCCCGCCCCCCCCACCCCAGGCCCCGGAAACCGCCACAGAAACCATGACAACTCCCCAAAGGGCCCCGAGAAGGCACCATGCATGTGTCCACCATCGCCGTTTGCGTTTGCCCAGCACCGACGCAGGCCCAGGATGGGCGCCCCCAGGATGAAGACAAGACGGCCCGAGAGTACGGCCCACGAGAGTCCCAAACCTGACAGCACCGGACAAAAGACCCCTGCGGCGGCTGAAGGAAGACCTCCAAAAAGCCCGAGTAAACCTGATAAAAAAACGCTGACCGCCCCCTAACAAAATAAGACGCACCCAAGAAACACGCCAAAGGATCCACGGACGTTTGGGGAAGACTATGGGAAACGAACTACAATCAAGGGGTCGGCGGATGTGGCGTAAGCCTGAAGAATCAAGGTATGATGGCAAGAAGTCTGTGACAAGCTACACCAAGCTACCACGAGAGCGAGAGACGAGGCTAGTAACACGCCCACAGGTGCCATGGTCGTCGCGATGGGCGCGATCGGCTGGGACTGATGACCACTAAGCGCTGGACCGACTCTACTGGCAAAGAGTGGGCCCACGACCCCGCACTCACAAATCTGGAGCCCCTGCTCGAGGCCATCCACCGCCACATGGTGGCCGGCCTGTGGCCTGTGGCGAATGCGAGTACGCACCAAAGAGGATTTGGATGCGGACATGGTGCCCACCTCCAATCTTGAATAAAAGTAATTGCGCCAGATGAGGCGCAAGAAAAGCCCTTCAAATAATCAGACGCGTTGCAAAATGTCATGGTGGGAGCGTGCTGGACTGCCCAAGTAGCCTGTGCCCGGAGTTAAGATCTCGACCATGACTGGATCCACCGTACCCAAGACTTGGAAAGAAAAGCTGCGGACTCCATCGCCCAAGAGCCCGACGTGAAGCAACTCTGCAATTCTGCTGTAGGGGTATCCTGCCTGCTCGGCTCAACGAGGGCTCCCAGAGGCCTCAGCTTGGAACAAGTTTCAACCAGCTTAAACCAGGGACATGCCCACTTCTCGTCGACTTCGGATAGGTCCAGAGAGCCTACAGTCGAACTCGACGTGCTTATCCAGATGGTTCAGCCCATTACGAGGTCCCCTGCGAGCTCTCCACTCAAATCCTCTTCGGCTCTTCGTCTCCTCCCAAGACGGTTCCGTGTGTCGAGCTGGCTGCCCTGGCCTACTGCCTTCTGTAAACCCGAGGTCCCCTCGAGATCTCGACGGACAATGCGACGGTCTTCAAAGGCGGCTGGCAGCGCGGGCTCTGGCACACAAGCCGCAGGGGCACCACGAGCTCTGACAGCAAAGGATCAAGCCTGCGATCCTCCAGCGACCTTGTCGTCTGAAATCTGAACCGAACCAAGTTTTCGTCGGAAGTGGAACTCCCGCCTAGCGTCATCAGCCAGCCGTGGTATGGTACTCTCGGGGATGAGCAGGCCGATACATCGGCCCAGGGAGGCCAGGCAAAAGCTGTTCACCTGATACAGCCTCGGTTGAACTCGCTTGTTGCGTTTGAGAATATCCCCCTGAGGGTCCGCACACGCATCGAAGCGGTCCTGACCGAAGGATGATGTATTCCTCGTGAGAGGCATGGACGCCGGCCACCACCAGCGCCCTGTGAAAGGTTTCTCTGAAGCAGGAGTTGGAGCACGCCTCGGGCTATGGCGTGCAGTCGCACCCGAAGGGCAAAATAAGGCTGGTGATGTTTCCATTGCAAGCTGAGCCCCAGTAGAACCTCGGTCGAGACCTGGATGCGCGGCAGGCTTTGCCCAGGAAGGAGGCCTGCTTCTGCATCGAAGGTTCCCCTTCCCATTCCGCCTTCGCTCCCCACCTATAAGGTATGAGGTAAGATGGTGCACCCGACACGTCCTGCCATGATTCTGAACGGTCAGAGTCGGTGCACGAACTGTGCGAGGATTAGCAGCTGCACTGTAACTGTGGGCGGTAAGCCCCATAGGTTGGCCTCCAATTGTCCAGGTGGTGTGGGCACTGACAATGGTACAGAGACCCTCCACCGCCAAGCCAATTGTCAGCCTCCGAAATGGTTCAGCTACGTTGTGGCCATCAGGTGATACAGACGAGCCCCTCCAGACCAGTCCAGGGCGTCGGAATCGACCTCGCAGCTAAAAGGCTTGGTCACGGCGCCGCAGCGTGACGAGCCGCCACGACTGCGTGTCGTGTCGAGCCGGGCCGATACTCCTCCTTCGCCTCTGCCGTGTCCTCTTCCGCCTCCTCCTCCTCCTCCTCCTCCTGCCCCTCCTCGTTCCCCCTTCTCCTGCCCTCCTCCTCCTGCCTCTCATCCTATCCCTCCTCCACCTCATGCCTGTTCCTCATCCACCTCCTCCCCCTCCTCCTCGTCCTCCTCCTCCTGCTCCTCCTTCCCCTCCCCTTCCTCTACCCATTTTTCCTTATGCTTAACTTCTCCCAGAAACCCCCAGACGTGTTGATAGGGCGGGCCAGGCGTTTCGTTTCGCATGAGACCTTCCTCGCCACTTACGATCCCGAATCTTGAAATGTGCAACAGGTTCAAGGGCGGAGAGCGGGTGGATGCTTCTGGAAATGTGGTTATCGCCTTCGCCTCGCGCACGTTCGTCTGAAAAACCTGCAGCAGCTTGACGGACGGAGAGCGAAGTGCTCGAATGGCGGCTCTGCCCTCAGCGCGGCGCACAGATGTTCTATGAATAGTTTGCTGCAGCTTCAAGGATGGAGGGCGGCTCCTTTTCAAAATGCGGCTCTCGCCTCAGCGTCGTCCTAAAAGTTTGCAAGGACTTCGAGGATGGAGGGCGGTTTCCTTAAAACTGTGGCCCTCGCCGTGTGCGGTGTCTCCAAGTATGTGGCTCTCGCCGCAGCGCCGCGCACATTCGCCTTGACAGTTTGCATCCGTTTCAAGGGTTCGTATGGTCGGAGTCCCAGGAAGAGCGTTCTGGCACGATGAGAACGGTCAGGACGAAACAGTAACGGTGATTCGCGGTGTTGAAGCCCCAGGAATGTTGAAGTGCCGGGAATGGTGCTCTGGCACGATTCAGGGATGTGAGGACGCAACAGTCACGGTGATCCGCGGCATTCGTCCCACAAACGACATTTTGGCACGATTGAAAATCCTCAGACGGTTATCTTCAAGTGGACTACTTCCCGCAATGAAAATAACTTCTTCTAGGGACCTACAAAGAGGGAACTTGGAGGCAGGGATTATTGCAACACCGTTAACGCATCCTAGGTTTACCATGGTACTCCTCCGTATCCCTCATGCTCTTCCTCCTCCGCCTCCTCCACCTCCTCCTCCTCCACTCCTCCTCCCCCTCCTCCTCCTCCTCCTCCTCCTCCTCCTCCTCCTCCTCCCCCTTCTCCTTCACCTCCTTCCCCCCCTCCTCCATATCATCTTATATCTCGTCCATCACCTTAAAATATTCCTCCGCTCCGTCTTCTTCCTCCTCCTCCTCCTCCTCCTCCTCCTCCGCCTCCTCGTCCTCATCCTCTCTGTGACTCCTAACTTTGTGGCACGATGGCCCAGTTCCCTCTTGACCTGATGTCCCGGCAACCAAGAAGCCCTGCGACCCTGTCCTGGCGACCCAGTGATCCTGTGGTTCTGCTGACCCGTTCACCAAACTACAATAAGAATGGTAAACACTGCGGATGAAAGAATAGAAAGTAGAGAGTGAGCGTGGGCCAGCTGACCTCGTGACCCGGTGTCCTGGAACCCGCGGACCAGGTGACCCAATGACCCCGTCGCGTGGGTCAGATGACCCAGTAGCATGAAGTTGGTCAGCTGACTCGGCGACCTGGTGCTGCAAAAGCGCGGGTCAGCTGACCCGACTGACCTGGTGACCCAGCAGTGCGGGCCAGCTGACCTGGCTCACCCAGTGAGACGACGACCCCAGCGTTGTGGGTCAGCTGGCCCGTCAACCTGGCGACCCAGTAGCTTGGGCCCGCTGATCTGGTGACCCAGCGACCCGCGCCCTCGCGAAACAGGCGACCCCGTTACCCCGCGACCCGTTGACACCGTATAGCGGGTCAGCTGACCCAATGAGACGGCGATCGGGCTGACCTGGTGGCGTGGGTCAACTGACACCGCGACCTCGTGATTCAAATCAAAACTAACCCAGCGCGACCCCAGACAGAGAGAGCTTCTGCCTTGCGACGCATTTCCATGCAGGTCTGAGCAATGCAAAGCAACGCGTTGCTTGAAGTTCTTGCAGGAAATCCTTCCTTGGCATGGCTTGGAGTTGCTTGGCATTGCTTGACATTGCTTGGATTCCTATGACACTGCTTGACATTGCTTGGCATTGCTTGGCATTGCTTGGCATTGCTTGGCATTGCTCGCCATTGCGTGGCATTGATTGGCGTTGCCTGGCGTTGCCTGGCGTTGCTCGGCACTACTCTGCAACGCCGACGAACCCCAAGGAACCCCGAGCAACGCCGAGGGCCGCCATCGCCGAGCAACGCCGAGGAACAGCGCCTGGGAACCCCGAGTAACGCCCGGGGCGACGGATCCCGCACCCACCGGTCTCATTCACAAGCAAACAAGAGCCCGTTGAAGTGACCCAGGGACGCACAAATAAATAGACACAAATCCCAGGATTTTTCCCCTCCTGACCCTTCTAAGCAGAGCCTGGATGGGGAAAGGAAAAATCCGACCCAAATGCATCGAGAGCCCGGCCCTGGCACTGCAAGACACCCCGAAAGGCGTCTCCCGGGCCTTCCCACGCAAGAGGGTGTCAGCCCCGCCCAGGAGGGCCCCCAAGACGCCCAAGCCCCATCAAGAGCGTCCGGAGATGACGATTGACCCTGTGAAAATGTCCGCCAGTCCTCGGCGGCGCGCGCAAGGGTGCACGGGGCGGGGCGAGGAGGGGGGAGCCTTCTGAGAAGTCAGGGGGGGGGCTTGTGAGAAGCCCTCCTGCGAGTGGAGAAGCCCCCTTCAGAAGCCTCCGAACCCTTCTGCGGGCCGCCCCCCTCGGACCCCATCGCCCCGCCCCCTGTTGCGCGCCGCGCCGCGAACGTCCGCCCACACTTTAGGGGATGAACGGTATAACATACTTGTTCGTCATCGGGGGTGCCTGTCCCAGGGCGGCTCGAAAGTTTATACCCTGACCTGCCACCGTAGAGGTATAAATTTTCCGGCCGCCCTTGGACAGGCGTCCTCGGCGGCGAGAAAGCATATGTGATTCCGTTCTTCCCCCCCTGGACACTCCCCCCTGCTTTCACGACCCCTGGGCCCACCCGCAGCGCCGCCCGCGCCGCCCCTGCCGCCAGCTCGGCGCTGCCTGCCGCACGCGGCGCGCCGAGGCTTCCTGGTGAGGCTGCCAGCTGGCCGCCGAAGGCGGACGGCAGCAGCGTCAGCGGCAGGCTGCCGGCGATGCTCCACGCCGGGCCACTGCTGGCCTCCAGGTGGGTTGGTGCATCAACCAGGCACACTGCGGAACCACCCGCTGCGCTGAGCACGGTGGCCGGCTTCCGCGAGCCAGGCCGGCGCCACCGCAGGCGTCCCCACGCGACGCCCAGGCAGAAAGCGACGCCGAAGACGCCCGTGGCGCCGCCCCCGCGGGGGGCCCACGTGCACGCGGGAAGCGCACTGCTGCACGGTGCGGCCCCGCAGCCTACGAGCAGAGGTCCTGCTGCGTCGGCGCCCTCGGGCGGTAGCTGCGCACACGATGTACCAGGCACAGGGATGACGTAAGGCAGATTGCTTTTGCGGGCAACGCACCCAGGCATGCCCACATGCTCTTGGGAACATAGTTGTTGCTTTCCTTTGAAGCGCATGGTGCTGGAGTATGACCCCAACGCATGGCTTGAGCCGAAAATAATGCGAACGAGCGCCGTCGCCAATAAGCTTCAAATGAACAGGCTACAACGACGGGCACACTCTAGAATATGTACCATGCCTGACATGTGGTAAGCACGCATGCTGGCATAACGACTGGCAATATGGCAGGTCAACTACCCGTACATTCAGATGGCGCGTGCAAACCTGACGTGGAAACCTATAGGTCGCAACCTGTGCACAGAACCCTGTGCATACAATGTTGCGCACATAAAGCGAGATTTGCGGCACCCAGCGAGCAAAACAACGAAAGGGGTGACATGTTCGTGTGGAACCCTACGTGTGGATCCCCGCGTCTGGAATTTCATGTAGCCGGTTACCTCTGTGGGAAGGAGCCTGTGAATGGGATCCTACCTCTGGTCCGGGCACGTTGGCGCGCGGGCCACCCGCGGCCCTGCGCGCCACGAGCCGCGAGTGCTGTGTGATTCCGTAGGCCTCGCGGCGCCTCGACTGCAGCTGGTGGCACGCGTCAGGGACGCCTGTGCGAGGCCGGGATTTACCCATACCCACCGCCTGGGAACCGACGTCCAGGTGCGCGGGCGGTGGATATGGATATATTTTGGCCCCTGGGGGCCCGAATATGTCCATGTCCACCGCCTGCCGAGGCTCCGAAAACCGACCCTCCAGGCGGTGGGTATGGATAAATTCCCGCCTCGGAGCCTGGGCTGCGTCGCCCGAGCACCGCCTGCACCGGGAGTGCCCCACCACCGGCAGCAGGCGCGTGGACAAGGGAAGGGCACCACCCGAGCCCGCGCCTGGCCCCACCCCTCTCGCCTGGCCACCCTCCACGACTCGTGAGGGCTCTCGCCTGACTCGGCCTCTGCTGCAGCAAGCGTTGCGGATGCCATGACAATGGACACCCTAACAATCCGATCATTGAATTACAGATGTGGTGAAACTGTGTAAAACATGTTCTAAAAACGTTCCACACATGCTTTTCTAAATAAAACATGCTTGAAACATCTCTTAGACATCTGGAAATGACTTGGCAGCACACTTCCTCTCCATTGATCGTCCTCCACAACGCAAGCGCAGCACTCCCCCTGCGCACCGCGCTCCCCCCTTGCCGCAGCGGCTGCGGCTCTCCCCCTGCACGGCACGGCATGGGGGCACTGCGCGGCACTGCAGCTGCCTTGCACCATCGAAACCAAGCACGGCACGGCACAGCAAGCGGGCATGGCACGGCACGGCACGTCAACTTTCTCCTCCTTTCCCCCAACCCTCCTGTGTTGGGTTCTCGTTTTGAATGGATCAGTGCAGTCGCGACTTCTCCTCCTCCTCCCCCTCCTCCCCCCTCCTGCCTCCTGCCTCGCTATCGCGACTCCTCTCCTCCTCCTCCCCCCTTCCTCCCTCCTCCCTCCTGTATCCTTCCTCGCGGTCGCGACTCCTCTCATCCTCCGCCCTCTTCCTGCCTGCTCCTGCGCTGCTCCCTGGGGGACTGCGAACTGCCCAACTGTCGCCACTTGCGTCGGCTCCTTGGAGGCACGGCGGGGTCGGGGAGTACGCGCATCCAGACGGAACCTCGCAGCCCCCTGGGGGTCTGCGAACCGCGCAACTGTCGCCACGTGCGTTGGTGCCCGAGAGGCACGGAGAAGTCAGGGAGTGCGCGCATTCGGACAGGGCATCGCAGCTCCCTGGGGGGCTGCGAACTGCACAACCGTCGCCACGTGCGTGGGCTCCTTGGGGGCACGGCGGGGTCGGGGAGCACGCGCATCCAGACGGAACCTCGCAGCCCCCTGGGGGTCTGCGAACCGCGCAACCGTCGCCACGTGCGTTGGTGCCCGAAAGGCACGGAGAAGTCAGGGAGTGCGCGTATTCGGACAGGGCATCGCAGCTCCCTGGGGGGCTGCGAACTGCACAACCGTCGCCACGTGCGTGGGCTCCTGGGGGGGCACGGCGGACTGGGGGAGTACGCGGATCCAGGCAGGACTTCGTAGCTCCTGGGAACTGCGAACTGCGCAACCGTCACCACGTTCGTAGGCTCCTGGGAGGCACGGCGGTAAGGGAACAGTACACGCACCCAGACGGGACCTCGCAGCCCCCTTGGGGGGCTGCGAACTGCCCAACTGTCGCCACGCTCGTGGGTTCCAGGGGGGCACGGCGGGGTCGGGTGCCACGCGCATCCATACGGGACCTCGCAGTTCCCTGGAGGACTGCGAGCTGCGCATCTGGCGCGAGTTCCGTGATCTCCTAGGTGGGAGGTCCAGCGGAGTAGGGGGTCACGCGCATCCGAACGGGACCTCGCTGGGTGGCTGCGAACGGCGCAACTGGCGCCACTGTCGTGGGCAATGGGGGGTCCAGCGGAGTCGGGGGCCACGCGCATCCATACGAGACCTCGCTACTACCTGGGGGACTGCGAATTGCCCAACTGTCGCCACTTTCGTGGGCTCCTTGGAGGCACGGCGGAGTGGGGGAGTATCACCACTTGCGTTGGTTCCTGCGAGGTCCGGCGGAATAAAGGGCCACGCGCACCCAGACGAGACCTCGCTGCTCCCTGGGTGGCTGCGAACTGCGCAACTGGCGCCACTTCCGTGGGCAATTGGGAAGTAAAGCGGAGTCGAGGGCCACACGCACCCAGCCGTGACCTCGCGGATTCTTTGGAGGATACGACCTGCGCAAGTGTCGCAAGTTTCGTAGGCTCGCGGGAGGCACGGCGGAGATGAGGGCAGCGCAGATCGTGCATATCTGCGTATCTGGCGATGTGTTCTTTCGTGTGGAGCGTTCATACAGATATCCGCCTCGCGTGGCGAAAGGGGCGGGCACGTCTCGGGAAATCCGACACCGAACACGGCACGGCACGGCAGGCGGCTACGGCACGGCAAGGCACGGCAACTTGTCGGCGCCCCCGAAGTCAAGCACGACACGGAACCACACGGCACTGCACGGGAACTCTTTTGCAATCTCGGATCGCGGAACTAAGCACGGCACAGCACGGCACGGTACAGCGCGCCCGCACAGCAGGGCACGGCAATGTTTTCGCATTTCTGAACAAAGGACCTTAGCAGACCCGATTTAACCCCTCCCTGCGTTTGCAGTCTAGGGTAACTCGTTTGAAAACTGCCAATGGCAGGGGGTGCTGCTGCTCAGAAGGCTCCAATCCTGTCTTCCGGGCAGTCGCGCGAGGTCCCGCGCCAGGGCCGCACCAGGCACACCAGCTGGATCACAGCCCCGGGCAGGGGGAAGGGCCAGAGCCAGAGCGCGCTCCAAACCAACAGCTCGGGCATCAGGCGTGCGCTGAGCTACCCGCGCTTCGCGCCGCCCCGATTCTGCGGCTCGTGCAAGATGGCAGCAGCGGCTGGAGGGCGCTCTGCCCCGAATGCGGGGAGACGCCCTAGGCGCGAGCGTCGGCCCGACGAACCACGCCAGCGAAGGACGCGCATGGTCAGCCCGAAGCCCCGCACCCCCGCCAAACGCATCGCAGATGCCACTGCGATTTCGCACCACCTCAGGACCGATGGCCCGGCGCCTCCCCAAATGGAGGATCACGGAGCAGATGCGTGCTCAACCGCCTCTCTCGGCCCCCCCGGGCTTGTCACCCACGCAAAACTGGCCGTGCTTACGGCATCGCACTGTTCCCATCACAACAAGAACGCGAACAACATCTTGCGTAGCCCGCCCGCTTCGGGGACGAGGGGGAGGCCAGACGTGTCTGAGACGTGGCAGAAGCGCCAGAACTCTGCTTCGCAGTCGTGGGGCGCCGCCGCCCGCCCTGCTTCCCCTGTCGTCGCTGGTCGTGGCACGGCGCGAAGCTTCTGCTTCGCAGTCGTGTGGCGCCACCGCCTGCTATTCTCTCCTTGCCACTTGCTGCTTGCACCTTCTTGGGGGACTACTGCATTGCATCGTGCACCGAAGGGAGTATTGCAATGCAGGCCACTGGCACGGTGGCATTGCATTGCAACTGGCACTGTGTATTGCATTGTCTCCCGCAGGGGGTCCTACCAGGCAGCTGGCACGGGGGTGTTGCATTGCCCCTGGAACGACGCACTGCGCTGCAACCTCGTTGCATGTGGTTCGTTCCAACGTCGTCGCACAGGGCTCCGCGGCCCCCGTGGCCTTTCGTCGGTGGCACACGCGTCACGATGCGTAAATTGTCGATTCGGCACTGTCGTCCGCCTTCTGCTCGATGGCTGGGGAAGGCGCTAGAGCGACCAAGGGGTCCCCACATGCAAAGAAAGGACGGCGGGGTTTGCCCCTGCACGCTGGATAGCCCAACGTTTCATGAAGAGGGCAGCGCTTGGCCGCACTGACCGTAGGATTGGGCGCTTGGCGGCTGGTCGCCCCGGCGCCCAGCCCTGCGGTCACTGCGGCCGATACCTTTTTCGTTGAGAACACCAGGGCCACGAGCGTCATTGGGCACAAGGAGCGGGGGGGGGCACAGAGGCCACGAGGATCACAAGAGCCACCACGGTCACAAGGGCCACAAGGGCCACAAGGGTCACAAGAGCCACAAGGGTCAGAAGGGTCACCAGGGGCCAGAAGGCCGACATACAGCAACGACACAAGACTTGCACTAGCCGCTGCACCTGGGCAAAAAGGTCACAGGAGGCACCGGGCACGGGATCACAGCGGTCAGAAAAGCCACAGCGCTGCTGGGCCACAAGGGGCAATCGCATGCGTCCCGCACCAGTGGTCAGCCAACGGAGCCTGCCAGTTGAAAAGGTTGCCCCGTGCGACGAGGTGGAGTGCCAAGTGTCGTCGCACTCCTCTCCTAGCCGCCTTTCGACCCCTCGGCCCTAATGGGCTGAGCGCTTTCCTGGCAGCAAAGGCTTGACCCGTCGTTCGTGGACAGCCGTTCCGTTCGGTTCCTCCCCTATCTGCAAAACACGCCCTCATCGGACTACTCCGGAGAACGACAGGGTCGCTTCTCAGGACATTGCATGGTTGGCGGCGG